TTGTCACAATCATAACACACCACATTCTTGTGACAACTCATTATAATCACAACACACCAAATTTATAAGATGTAAACATTTCGTATATTCATTAAGTCAGATTTATTTGACTTACATTTTCTTGGTAACTTGTCCAAGTCACGATACAGTTAAATGACTTGTGCCATATACGTTAAGAACCCTTTGTCTGATTCATAAATTACAATACCAAGAATCTGTTCATAAGCTACAAAACACATTGTTGGATTTATAAGTCAGAAAACCCAGTGACTGAAGCATAAGTTACAACAGCCAGTGTCTGATTCATGAGTTGCAACAGCCAGTGTCTGATTCATTAGTTACAATAAAAATAAAAATAATAATAATAAAGTTCATTTCAAAAACACGCTTCATCCCCAAAGGCTCGAAGCGCGGTACAAATTCAACGAAATACAAATCTATAATTTACCACATTTAAAACAAACGCAACACTTCAAAAACTAATTACTAGCATACAATTGCAAAGTCTTTCTAGCCATTTCAACCCCAAGCAACACAGCCATTATGCATTAACTGGAAAATAAGGTTGACAATCATCCTAGAAGGTGTTTGCGAAATAGATGTGTCTTTAAATCTGTTTTAAAGGACTCCAGTGTCTGATTTATAACTTACAATACCCTGTCTCTTACTCCTAACAGGAACGAATTTCAGATCCCTAACAAAACCCAGCGTGAGATCCATTAAAAGAACAAGTGTAAGATCCATACCAGTAACCAGTCTCACATCCATAACATGACCTAGTGTCACATCCATAACCTGACCTAGTGTCAGATTCATAACATGACCTAATGTCACATCCATAACATGACCTAAGTGTCACATCCATGTCATGACCTAGTGTCAGATTCATAACCGACCTAATGTCACATCCATAACATGACCTAGTGTCAGATTCATAACATGACCTATTGTCACATCCATAATCTGACCTAGTGTCACATCCATAACACGACCTCGTGTCACATCCATAACATGACCTAGTGTCACATCAATAACATGACCTAGTGTCAGATCCATTACAAAAACGTAAGTCAAATCCATTACAAGAGACTATGTCAGATCCATAAAAAAAAAATATTTAAAAATTTTAAAATAAAAAAAAACAAAACAACTCGGCGTTTGATTCATAACAAAATAAAAACAAGTTTTCGAATGATAACAATTGTGTTTAGAGGGGTTAAAGTTAGATAACTCAAAAAAATTTTGTATTAAAATTTTATTCAAAAACAAATTATCTTCCCATTTTTCAACAAATCAATCCTAATTTACTTAATTAATTTAAAATCGTTTCGCAGTAGTTTTTTTTTTTTATAAATCATAAACTCCATTTCAAAAACTTGGTTGCCCATGATACCTATTTATTTATCACAAAGTTTACACAGTGATGAGCTTCCGACTTAAGAATCCGACAGGGTGCAGCATTCCGTCAAAGGAGCAAACTCTTCGGTTTGATGTGGCGTCAAGCCACGATGAATGCTAACTAACTAACGCACATATTCTGGTGAAGGTCTGAGATTACTCTCTTATGACCCCGGCTAGTAAATTGGCTATCAACTCCATCTGTTGAGCTGAGCCATACAACATTTCCCTCACAAAGGATCCTCCAACCGCCCTGGCTTCCCCCGGGAGATCTAGTGTGGGACATTCAGTCAACAGTTGTTCTAAGGTCTCTGGGGCCAGGCTGCAATGCCGGCAGGTAGGATCTCTGTTGTTATTATGAATGCTAACTTGTTTAAACGCACTAACTCATGGTGTTATTTCATTTGAACTTTTCAGGCCACATCATTTGAATGCGACGTCTTGGTTGGTCCTTTTTAATCTGTGTTTTATGTCTTATAAATATTGATCTACAGCCTTCGTTTCTCCGTTCATGAAATCACCAGTAAGAATGGTTTTATTATGAACATTGGGCCTCAGACTTTACGTCCCTAGATCACTACGCAAGTGGGCCTCAGACTTCACGTCCCTAGATCACTTCACAAGTGGGCCTCAGACTTTTCGTCCATAAAACAATTGATTTATTAATTTGATAACAAACTAATAGCAAATAATGCTGCACTTATACACCTATACCTATTTTAGGGTTTCTTATCGGACAGTTTGAGCAGCACTCATTTCAGTTAGCCGTTGAGTGTATCAACCAGCCCATCTGAACAAGGGTGGCATGGTGACGATAATGCTCTTTTAGTACCAAACAATAGTAAGTTAAGCGATTACATATGATTTAAATTGGGATCCAATATCAGATAATTAATCTATTTTTGCGATATTGTTTTATGCTTACAATTAAAATGTCTCATAAAAAAAAATGGCATACTAAAATCTTTATTTACCTATGTCTCTGGGGAAGTTCACTCACTTCTTTCCACGATACCGCCCACTTGTATGCAGCTTATTGCATGTCAACAGTTTCAATTCCTATTAATAACAAAACCAATTTTGAAGACCATTCAAAACATATTTCTTCAATTCCCTTGAATCCTCGCAGTCTTTAACTTCTTCATTTGTGACATCTAATGTATATTATTATAAGGTCACATATCTGTGAAGCTGTTAGATAAATCGCATTTAATTTTAATGACAGCTTTTATGCGTATCTTTCAAGGTTACAGATGAAATGCTGCACTCAAGCTATTTCAAGAAAATAGAAAAACAAGGCATATGGGAGCTTGACATATAAGGCCTGTACAATGATCCTAAGCTGACTAGATTTTCTGGATGACAATTACGGAAACAAAGACTCATAGCAACCAGAGGCATAAAAGCGGGGGTTGGGGGGGGGGCGCAAAAACAACAAAAGGTGTTGTAAATGATCTTTATTATCCTTCTGTACATCATTTTGTTAAAATCTTTTCTGAATAATTTGCAGACCCATGAACAGCTTTTAACGAATTTTCACTCTCAAAAAGTTTATCATAAAATTCAGGACACGTTAAACCAATGTTTACATTGCACGATCAAAATATCTCTCAGTGTGATTACTTTCTGCTGTCAGCCAGGGGGCTAAATCTCACGAAGCCAGTTGGATAGCCACAACTGAGACACGCGGGCTAGCCCGAAAAAAAAAGCAATATTAGGAAACCGACTGCAGCAACTGCCCGCGTGCTAGAGATTATTTCAAGCACCGATCGGACTAACTAGCCACCATTCGAGCTCATCGTAACCCACCCTTCCCTTTCACCGGATGATGGGATGGTCCTAATCGATGTTGACGGACGAACAACAACAACAACTTTCAGCTGCGATTTCTCAGGCATTCAAGCATTGCTTACCTTACGCGAAAGCTCGATCCACAGGTGACCAAGAAGGCTGAATGAAAAACTCAAGCAGTAGTTGCAACTGCACAGAGAGTATAGCATTTGCTTTGAAATGTTGAAAAATGTGCACCCATTTATTGGATGTACAGAAATATTTTGTGAGTTCTATTCTTTCAGCTTGTGTTTCACATTAAGTTGGCTTACCAATAAGATTGCTATCGACAATTTTCCCGGGAAAGATTTCATTGACATGCTCAGATAGTCTCACGCACTTTTATTTCAGATGCAGCAGTAGTGCTTGGGTTGACGAGAAATGTTCCGCACGATGGCGCTGAAACTATTCCCTGCCCTGAAACTATTCCCTGAAACTATTCCCTGCCCTGAAACTATTCCCTGCCCTGAAACTATTCCCTGAAACTATTCCCTGCCCTGAAACTATTCCCTGAAACTATTCCCTGCCCTGAAACTATTCCCTGCCCTGAAACTATTCCCTGCCCTGAAACTATTCCCTGAAACTATTCCCTGAAACTATTCCCTGAAACTATTCCCTGAAACTATTCCCTGAAACTATTCCCAGAAACTATTCCCTGAAACTATTCCCTGCCCTGAGACTATTCCCTGAGACTATTCCCTGAAACTATTCCCTGAAACTATTCCCTGAAACTATTCCCTGAAACTATTCCCAGAAACTATTCCCTGAGACTATTCCCTGCCCTGAAACTATTCCCTGAAACTATTCCCTGAAATTATTCCTTGAAACTATTCCCTGAAACTATTCCCTGAAACTAGTCCCTGAAACTATTCCCTGAAACTATTCCCTGAAACTATTCCCTGAAACTATTCCCTGAAACTATTCCCTGAAACTATTCCGAGAAACTATTCCCTGAGACTATTCCCTGCCCTGAGACTATTCCCTGCGCTAAAATTATAACCTGCGCTGAACATAGCTGAGAGATGCCACACGTTAAGTTGACATGAGGCAAGACTGTCGTCGCTACCATATGTACCGACCGGCTGGACGACGAATGGAAATATGACAAGTAAGTCATCGCTACTGAAATTTTCACAACCATCGACCTGCTGGTACCAGGCGGTCAAAAATACCTACTGTCCGTACTAAATACGGATGTCTGGTACCCTATTTGTTACAATAATTCACATTTAATTTTTCAAAAATCTCTGTCTCTCCCCCCCCCCTCTCTCTCTCTCTCTCTCTCCCCTTTTTCGCCCACTGTATATATAGATAGATAGATGTATGTCTTCAAATGCAATAGCTTTTTACCGCTTGCATTACTAAGTGATCAGATGCAACAATCGATTTCGTATGGACGAGGAAGACAGTGATTGACATAATGTTGTAAAACTGGGGGGTTCATGTTTTGTTCTTAAGTTGCGTGGATAATTCCAATGACACAGACTAGTGGGGGAAAGAAATATGACCGGCTAATGTTGAGGACTAGCATCGGGGGGGGGGGGGGGGGGGGGGTCCCAGTTCAGGTAAACATAGCCATGGTAAGTGACGATGGCAAATTTTTGCCCCCCCCCCACACACACTCACCCAGCTGATCTATAAATAGACCTCTTCAAAGACCGACGGTCAATATTAGCCCCAACAAAGGGGGTGAAATCGTATTGGGTAGGAGGCAACTTTAACTCCTTTTTTTCATCATGGAAACTAAAATATACACCTAATTTCATGAGGGGGGTCAATTTATTTCATGTTCACATTCTGGGTTGGGCAATCTTACAAGACAATACAAAGATAATGCAACTGCCTTCAAACTCATACACAGCGCTAATGAGATGTCAAAGATTTATGATGGCGTCCCCAGAGGCAAATGTGCGACAGATGTCTACACGAGACTGCGGCAATTGCTAGTAGACTATAGTTTTTATGCACACGAATAAAAGTTTCATAGTTCTCTTTATCACACTTCCCGATAATATTTCCCTCAAGTGACCGCCAGTTTACCTTTTTTTTTTCTTCCCCCGACGATCTCCGAAAAGACAACACCAGGACCGCCATTTCCGTGTCCGCCCAGATGGCCGTCAAGTGTGCAGCTGTTCTACTGCTCTACATTTCACTTGCCAACTCCATTCAGATGGGACAAGGCAACACACGTCTACGAACAGGTAAGGGCTGGTCGTGCAATGCAACGCATTGGAAAAAAAGTGGCGAGTCTGGAAACAGTCGCATCTGTAGGTCTATTGTTGACCTAATTTTTTTTTTTTAAAGTGTTTACCAAAATTAAATATAAAAGAATACTACTAAAAAAGATAAATTTTAATACCAACTTTTTTCCCGTAACCTTCTTATAACTAATTTGTATTTTATACTGCAAAAAACAAAAACAAACAAACAAACAAACAAACAAACCATAAAACAATAGAAAATCCACCATTATATTAAGGTTGAGATTTTACTTGACCTAATAGCAGTGGTTCTCAACCTTCCTAATTTCGCGACCCTCTAATACAGTTCCTCATGTTGCGGCGACCCTCAACTACAAAACTATTTACGTTGCTGCTTCCTAACTGTACAGTATAAGTGTTTTCCGATGGTCTTATGCGACCCCTGTGAAAGGGCCGTTCGACCCCGACCACCACCCACCCCCCTCCCCCCAAAGGGTTGCCGCCAAATATGCCACCACACGAAGAAAAATATCATCTACTTTCATCTGAGGCGACTATACCACTCCCACCACTTTTGTTTTGGTCCAGGTTGTAGAAGCAAAAAAAAAAACAAAACAAAAAAAACAAAACAAAAAAAACAAAACNAAAAAAAAAAAAAAATAAAAAAAAAAAAAAAAAAATAATAATTCCAAAAAAAAAATGTTCATTTAAATCCGTTACCACCCACAATTTTTCCCCCCCCCCCCCCCCCAAAAAATTTTTTTTTTTAGTAAGCTTATGATTATTTCTTTTTCAGCTGTAGCACTACAGATTCAAATGCTTCAAACGTTCGTTCACTTGCTGGACAGCTGTGGACCTTCAACGCCTCGTGTTATTCATTACGAGCCAGGTACAAGTTTTTCTTTCTAGTAACTTAGATCACTTTGGAAAAAAAAAAAGTTTAGAACAAAAAAATTGAATTCTTATCTGTATTTTTGTTTATATTTTCCATATTAAATTATTACACCGGAAAAAAAATAAATAAAAAGTTTGCAAAGGGGCTGGGGGGGGGGGTTAGATTTTAGTACCCACCTCTAACTCGAATTGGAAGAAGCCACTTCCTCCTCCCTATGTGTAGACGCCCCTGAGAGTTATAACTAGCCATTTCCTTAAAAAAAAAATTTGATTTAATAAATGTTTCATGGAACGCTTCTATACTAAGGGCACACGAGTATGCACCTTGTACGCAAGACTTCTTCAAACCTTCACTGGACGTGAGGGAATGACGTGCAAGGATTCTACGGGTCTGAGGAAGTTGCGTGTGTGATCAAAATTTCTTTAACATTGAGTTACGCAACCTTTTTTGAGTTATGGATCATTTCAATAAAAAAAAAAAATGTATAACTGCAAAGAAAATATTTTTTGGATCTGCTTTAAGGGGTGAATTGTTTAAAATATATTCCAAAAAAGGAAAAAAAAAATATCTGCAATATCAATCTCTTAAATATATATTTTTAGCTCGTTTTGTGACTGCTTCCATTTCCAGATAGAGCGCAAAATATAATTCTCGATAACTTCGCTAAATGATTTTTTATTTTCAAACGACGTAGCTGAGTTTGGCGCGTAATATTTTCCTTTCTGGAAATGCAACCGTCTCAATTTAAATATGGCGTAAAAAATATTCGGTTTAAAAGTCATTGGAACATCTGAATATTTCATATAGTTCATGGGCCTGAAATAAAAAAAAAAGGGAAGTGACGTAGATGGGACGCGTTAACCTTGGTCGGCAACTCAGCTAAGAGAAGGAACTCTAAATTACCACCCGGAGATGGCGTCCCCATACAGGCGGCAAACACCGAAACAATGAATCATTCCGAAAACCCCAGGGACGGCCCGGATGCCATCACTGAGAGCGCAGTGAGCCATGCTGAAATAACATTGGATACTTAGCGCTATATAACTATTAAATCAATCAATCAATCATGGGTTCGAGCAAAAATTGGGATTCTTAAATGTGTGTTACTTGAGTTCATGTTTTGTCAAGTAACTTTAAAAGATGGGAGGTTCACGCATTGCCACCAACGATTTGTGTGTTATAACTAGTAGACGGGAAGTTGACACATCGCTGTCTCCAATGTTCGGCAGCTATAACTAGTAGATGGGAAGTTGACCCATTGCTGTCGCCAAAGTCTGGCGGGCTATAACTAGTAGATGGGAAGTTGACGCATTGCTGTCGCCAAAGTCTGGCGTGCTATAACTAGTAGATGGGAAGTTGACGCATCGCTGACTCCAATGAAATGGCGAGCTATAACTAGTAGATGGGAAGTTGACACATCGTTGTCTCCAATGTAATGGCGAGCTATAACTAGTAGACGGGACGTTGACACATCGCTGTCTCCAATGTAATGGCGAGCTATAACTAGTACATGGGAAGTTGACACATCGCTGTCTCCAATGTAATGGCGAGCTATAACTAGTAGATGGGAAGTTGACACATCGTTGTCTCCAATGTAATGGCGAGCTATAACTAGTAGATGGGAAGTTGACACATCGTTGTCTCCAATGTAATGGCGAGCTATAACTAGTAGATGGGAAGTTGACGCATTGCTGTCTCCAATGTCTGGCTAGCTATAACTAGTAGCTAGGAAGTTTACACATTGCTGTCTCCAATGACTGGCGTGCTATAACTGGTAGATGGGAAGTTGACCCATTGCTGTCTCCAATGTTCTTGCGTGCTATAACTAGTAGATGGGAAGTTGACACATTGCTGTCTCCAATGTCCGGCGTGCTATAACTTGTAGATGGGAAGTTGACACATTGCTGTCTCCAATGTTTGGCAAGCTATAACTTGTAGATGGGAAGTTGACACATTGCTGTCTCCAATGTTTGGCAAGCTATAACTTGTAGATGGGAAGTTGACGCATTGCTGTCTCCAATGTTTTGCAAGCTATAACTTGTAGATGGGAAGTTGACACATCCCTGTCTGCAATGTTTGGCGAACTATAACTTGTAGATGGAAAGTTGACACGTTGCTGTCTCCAATTTTTGCAAGCTATAACTTGTAGATGGGAAGTTGACCCATTGATTTCGCCAATGTCCAGGCGTGATGTAACCAGTAATGATAATAAAATATGAAATATAATTCATAATAAACGCACTTTGCAACAAAAAATACTAAAAAGTTTCAAAGAAATGGCCCCTAAAATGTCAGAGGTGCTAGAGTCATATGACTAAAAGCGCGTGGTTGGGGTGGGGGAGGCATAAGCGGAGGTTGGCGAGCGTAAAATATTTCTAATTCATTCGACATCGCGAATTGGTTTAAAAAATGATGTGCCAAATAGAGGTCACTCAAGGTTCAGTAGAGGTCACTGATGATCTTCAAAGTTTACATTTTTGTCAACGGAGCTGGGTAAATTTACACAATTACAATTCAATAGGACCTAGAAGAAGTGGGTCAAACTTTAGATGCAAGGGCAAATGGAGATTACTGATGACGTACTGATTGATATGCACTGTCTTCTTTTGTGACAAAACGTACCTCTTATTTAAAGTTGATGGTTCGTTCGACACAGAGCCTAACAAAGGACGATACCATAGAGAATTACAATGGCAAAAATACGACATTCAAAACTGTACTAATTACAATTAATAAGATTTATTTAAGTATTAATATATAATTACAAAACAAAAGAAATATAATTGCAATCATCAACTTAAAGAGTATGGGATGTCTTGTACCGGTACGCAGTTAGTACAATGTGACAATTAATAATGTACAATGATGAATCCGAATAAACACACATGAGTGCACACAATAATACGGTTGTCTCGTGAAGTGAAAAATATCTATCAACCGATCTCCGTGAATCTCTGAATTCCCTTATTTATATAGTGGGTCTACCGACGCATCCAGAAAAGCGGTACACATTGTTTACTTTTCTAGTCCAAACGCGAACATTCTACAAAATGTTATGAGAAACAGATACATTACTTTAATAAGTATCGGTAGTAAACACGGCAACATGAAAAGAAAATAGGCCACGCCCAATACAAATGCGGTCTAATTTTGGGGTCAAACAGAGTTCACGGCACGGGGAAAGTGTGACGTAAACACGTTCTACATAACACTTATCATGAAAAATGTTTCGGAGGCTGGTTAAGTTTGGAAAGTTTAAACTCATTTGGACCCAATGAAGTATGGTCAATGAAGTGAATAAAGGAAGTGGATCCAAAAAAAAAGTGGGTTTAAGGAAGTGGGTCAAAAATGTTATTATCCACCACAAACTAAACTGACATGACCAGAGAATGACAATTTAACGCTACGAACCTTAATGATTACTCCGAAACCTATCCGTGTGGCACAGACATGACCAGAGAATGACAACTGATAACTTACTTTGGAGATGGTGTCGGTGAGTCGTCAAGTTCGCACTCATAATACCCCCGGCACTCCCCCAAACGGGCCAAGGCCTCCCCCGCAGCCCCAGACCACGCGGAAGCGCGCCGGGAATTTCCCTTACTGGCCTAAGGGACGTCCGGCAGACCGAGGGCGCTGCGTTTAAAGCGTCCGTAGTCCGCTCTCCTATGGGTCAGGACGGCTTTACTTCCTCTCCGGAGAGGTGGTGTTGCGTTACCACTCCCCACCGCCCAGGGAGCTGTCCAGTCGGGACGTAGCGGGGACGAAACGGTCGCCTAGGGGCGGCTTTCTCAGGGCCGCGTCTTTTTAATCATTGACAAGGGTTTGGGCGGCCACCCATTGCCTCATACCCGTCAACGGCAACAGTAATCATGTTAGCGCTAAACTTCCGTTGCGTTGAAAGTCATGCGTTTTGCCTGGGATCTTTTAGCTTCAGAAGAAAATTCCCTCCTACTAGTCGGGCACGCCACGAAGAGGCAAGATCCCGTGAAACACCACCATGAGGCTTGTGGTGCTGGACAAGGATTTTCCAGAGGTCCACCCTTGCCCGCCCGAGAATGACAACTTAACGCTACGAAACTTAATAATTACTCCAAAAAAACTGTCCGTGTGGCACATACATGACCAGAGAATGACAGCTTAACGCCACGAAACGTAGTGACTACTTCACAGACAGTCCGTGTGACACAGACATGACCAGAGAATGACAGCTTAACGCCACGAACCGTAGTGACTACTTCACAGACAGTCCGTGTGACACAGACATGACCAGAGAATGACAGCTTAACGCCACGAAACGTAATGCCTACTCCACAGACTGTCCGCGTGGCACAGGCATGACCAGAGAATGACAGCTTAACGCCACGAACCGTAGTGACTACTTCACAGACAGTCCGTGTGACACAGACATGACCAGAGAATGACAGCTTAACGCTACGAACCGTAATGACTACTTCACAGACAGTCCGTGTGACACAGACATGACCAGAGAATGACAGCTTAACGCTACGAACCGTAATGACTACTTCACAGACTGTCCGCGTGACACAGACATGACCAGAGAATGACTGCTTAACGCTACGAGCCGTAATACCTACTCCACAGACTATCCGTGTGACGTAGGGTGGTTAAACTGCTATAAGCTTAAAAAATGGAAAAGAATCAACAAAACTCCCTGCTGCAGAAGGTATAAATTTCTACCGTACATGAGAGGCGGGTCTTGCATCTGTATCAAAAAGGTAAGGTACAGCTAGCTGTTTCACCTTTGACTATTTTAAAAGAGTACAAGTGCTTTTACGTCTTATAGGTTATGGGACCCTGTGTGTGTGTTTATAAAGTTAAGAGTCCCTGTGTGTTCCATCAAGTCAGGACACTCTGTATGTTTCTATAAAGTTAGGAAACCCTGTGTGTGTCTATAAGTTTAAGAGACCCTTGTGTTCTATAAGGTTAGGAGTCCCTGTGTGTGTTTTTGAGGTAAATAGACCCTGTGTTTGTTTATAACGTAAGGAGGCCATGGGTCTGTAAGGTGAGACTCTATGTGTGTTTTTTTTTGATAAGTTAAGGAGGCAGTGTGGGTATATAAGAAAAAAATGAGTGGATTTTAGCGTTCAAGATAAGGAGTCCATGTCTATGAGAATGGAGATTACAGACTGACCGAAACCGAAACGAACGTTAAGAACGACTATCGGCCGAAACCGAAGCCAAAACCACTGCTGCTTAACGATACTACCGGACGATACCTAAAGATTTTGATATTTCAAAACTCGTTTGCGCAGACTTTGTACGCACTTCGAAAAGAGATAGGTAAAATAATATTGATATGTTTTATTAGTCTATTTTTTAAATTATATGGATGTGAAGACACATAACTGAATTGGTGAAATTTACTAAACATTTTAATTCGCTGTCAATGACAAAATGTTCAGCATTATAATGAGAAATTTCAAATAAAATTCCAAAATATTTATTTACGTTTATATATATATAAATAATAAAATAATAATATATATATATAAATAATCGAATTGTTAGCATTCCCTTAGATTTTTTTTCACAATATGATTTACCGTTGCCAATGACAACATAAACTAAAAAATAATGTCACGAATAACTAAGGGTTCGCAAATTAGATTTCAGAATCAAACAAATATGTAAAACCAACATATTAAAAGAAATAGTAGCATTCCCTTATTTATTATTTATTTTTTGTCCACATCACTATTTCTCTTAACCTAAGTGTAATTTTAATTTCATTGTGAGAAATAGTAGACTAATAGGTCATCATGCAGCTGCGAGCACTGTTGGCCGAGGATTAGTCACATATCATAGGAAAACAGCAAGACGTGGAGCAATAATGAATATCGGATTACCGGCCGACCAAAAACACACAGTGACAATCGTACGACTGGTAGACGACCGAAAGTCTCGGCCGAACTCGAAATCCACCGAAAGATACATTTTTCTGCTTCGACCGAATCCGAAACTAAGCCGAAATGGGTCATGTGGCAACTTTCGGCGCCGAAACCGAAATGAAAACGGTTTCTAATGGGAACCGCGTGAGAGTAGACAGTGACGAGGCGGTTATAGTCTATGAGATAAGGAGGTCACGTGTGTCCATCAGATAAGGAGGTCCCGTGTGTCCATCAGATAAGACGGTCCCGTGTGTCCCCCAGATAAGGAGGTCACGTGTGCCCATAAGATAGGAGGTCACGTGTGTCCATCGGATAAAAGGGGACCATGTCATAAATGTGTACATATAAGTTAACGAGGCCGTTTGTGTCTATGGTGTCGGGGGTGTGATTAGGCAGGGGATCTCAACCTTCTTACTGCCGCGACCTTTACTTACTGTCCCGCGTGTTGTGGGGACCCCCCAATCATTGCTACTTCATAACTGTAAGTTATATGTATTTTCCGATGGCTATGCGACCCTTAAGAAAAGGGTTGTTCGACCCCGAAAGGGGTCGCGACACACAGGTTGTGAGCCGCTGTGTTAAGGCAAGGAGGCGTGCATGTCTATAAAGTAGGGAGGCCGTCTGTGTGTGTGTGTGTGTGTGTGTGTGTAAAGTACCAAGACTCTCTGTGGCTATTAGGTAAGGAGGCTGTGTACGCCTATCCGACAAGCAGACTATGTGTTCGCAGAAGACAGAGTGCCCGTATGCATTAATCTAAATCAGCTCAGCTATTAAAATTTAATCATGCACAAGTAAACATTGGCAGTTTAGCTTACTCAATCCAACAAACTAAATGCATGGGCATGATAAGATAAAAGAAAAATTGTCATCAATTAGAAAATCATGAATTATTGATCCTCAAAGCACGTTAAAAAAATAACGATTTTTTTTTCCTAACCATTAACCATTACATTAATGTTTCCTATTGATCACATTCTCTCAAAATATGATTTTCTCAAAATTAACCACTTTTTTATTTAGCTGAGTTAAAGCAAGAAGGCCAGGAAACTGTTTGAAGCGACCGATCCATGTTGAACATTGGAGAAGAGACAGTACCTGATCTTTAAAAAAAAAAAAAAAAAAAAAAAAAAAAAAAAAGAGTTTTTAAAATAATGAAAAAAAA